TGAGATAAACCATCTTTCAACAACCAAGGCAATAACACAAATGGCTGTCACAACAATCATAGTACAGATTATTATAGATTATAAGTAATATCAATACAATGAACACAAGACTGTATATGACATCCTTTCAAAAACAACAAAGCAAATTCACAACAGCGGTAAACAGATTATAAAATGTTCAATCTTCAAAGAAAATAAAAAGAGATCACAAGCTCACGAAAAACTCACCAAAAAATATAATATACGTTTAAGGCATTGGTGGCCTAAAGTCTATAATGTTTCACTTTTCATGTAGTCTTGTTTTCTTTTCTTTTTTTCTAGTCTTGTTTACACAATGCACAGATTCAATTTGAAATCCTTTTATAGTATCATTAAATCCTATTATAGTATTACACAAAAGTAATGAAATGGAACATGTCACCACAGTTGCTGGGGTGGAGATATCAGTGCATGGATGTCAGTAGATGTAATAACTTATTTTAGATGTCTCGCTTCAGCTTGAAGCCTCTGGTGGTGGTTACACCTTTACCTTAAGAGTATATGACATTTCCGGGTTAGAGTCACTTTATATTAGGCATATTTAACTATGTACTTGCATATAAACATGTTAGGCTACAACGCACTTATTGTGTTGCAAAAGACTTTTGCTGCTATTGAGGTGGAATTCGCGTAAGTTTAGGGACGGGTTTGGTGGTAAGGGTAGGTTTAAGGATTAAGGGAAGAGTCAACTGTATAATGATACAGAAATTAATAACAGCTGTAATAACATGCAGGTTTGCATACAAGTACACAATAAGTGCGTTTTATCAAATAATTTAAATGTTAGTACATAGTAAAAACAATATAAAATTGGGACCACATTTCTTTTACTACTACTTCTTTGATAGATTCATTGTCGGTTATTCTATTTAGAATAAGTATTTAGCATATTTATTTATGCATGACTAACATTTATGTTCGGTTGAGATTTTGAATGTATTTAATAATGTGTATGCAGTTTAAATATGATACTGTATGTAATTTAATTTATTTCATATTAAGTAACATTTTTCAAGTTATTAAAATGTCCTTGTGATATAATAGTAATGCACCTGTACATATAGATTTTTTTTTATTTTTATGATGGATCTCTCCACCAGTTGCTTTGCTCTGTACAAATTATTTAACAGTCATTCACAAGGACAATACAAGTCCACTAAATATAGAAACTAAGAATCTAAGATTATGAAAGATTAAATTAACATATGCTCTTCATTTGTTTTTATTTTAAACTTTTTGGTGACTGGGACGAATTTTGGAGAAGGTCACTTTAATTAAATCTATAAAATGTTGACGTGATGAGCATAGGTTTGCTATTTGTTTTAGAAAGCACAATCTGTCATCAGTTTCCATGAGCCAGTAATAAATCATGAGGCTTTCTGAGTGAAATCTGTCCACTGCCTTAGTAACAGATGCTGCTTAATCCTGGTTACAAGGCTAAGCTGCCTGCAAAAGAGATGAACGTTTTAATATATCATCTAAAAAAAAAAGGTTTAAAAGGACATTTTGGCTTGACGTGTGCACACTGCACATAGATCAAATCCAATCTTTCAGACTGACCTTCATTGTGTAGGTGATGTAATTTGATTTGTTTGTGCAGACAGTTTAGTTCATATCAGTTGTATCTAAATCATCAGTTGCTGTAATGGTCAAGAAAACCTAAAATGTCCATCCAATCATGTCCATCATGACATCGTGCTGTTATTCTGAAATCCTGAGGCACATGAGAGCAACATTTTGAGTGACATTTTATACATTCATGCATATACATATGTCCAAAACCATTGACTTGATCAAAATAGTGAATGGCATATAATGGGAAAAAGTGAGAGAAAAGTCTATGTGCACAATATTGTATTTTTTTTTTCTGACTACAAATGCTCTTCTGACTAAACACACAGGCAAATATGCCAAAAATCTGTTTTCTGTCTGTGTGAAGTTGGCTGCCTCAGTGTTTCTTGTCATCTTGACTGATGATGCTGTTAAACTTTTATTTTCATCATGCTAACTTTGTCCGTACAGAAGTGGCAAGGTGAAGCATTTCGAGGAAAGACTACACAGCATAGCCGAGAAGAGCTGAGAGGTTGTGTATGTAATCTAATGAGAACACTTGAGTTGTCTGTTGGTTTAACATCATGAATAATGTGGTTAGTTTAGGCTTCAGATTATATCCTATTAATCAGAAGAGAGCTGTGGGCCACAATAGCCCAATGTGTTCGGAGGTCTCGCCATAGACTTCTCAAATACACCTCAGGGAAATCAATGTTTTACAGCCTTTACATTTGCAGCCCTAGCACCCAAGTCTGAGAGCATTAACAACAGCGAAACGCCTCCAGGCCGAGGCAGGCGTTATGATGTCCGACTAATTAGAGTGTCCCACAGTTCATTTATGAAATTCATTTTCTAAAGTTGTTTGCCATCTCTAAATGCTTATTGTTTTACTGGATTAACATGCCAGATGTTGTTGCTGTCTGTTCGGACGTATTCATTTAAGTGTTTAGAGTTTAATTGATTCCACGTTCCGCTAATCCAAAAACATTATGTCAAATGTTTCCTCCATGAGAGCATTTCCTGAATGAAACTAGCCTGTTTTGTGCAAAAAAAAAAAAAATTGTGAGCTATGAAACATTGAATCCACAAAAGGGTCGAATCCATATTATCTTTCACAAACGACATATGTGCCACCTACAGCAGGCTATGCTACATTTTACTATTGCTTTCACAGTTCAAAAAGTATTCAAACTTACCAAGTTATGGGTTTTTCTCTTGCTTTGGGGACTTGTTTATACTATTTATAGGAAAACATGTTGTAGCATGCCAGTTGTTTTTCAGAGGGAACACATGGTTTTAGTCTGGATCCAAACCTGACGTTTGCTTCAAAACGTCATTCACAGGAGGATCCTTAACACTGGCTGTATATTGGTCTCATAAAAAAAAGGAGTCATGATGGGCTTGGAAAGGTCAGAACTTAATGCATCTGCTGACCTCATTTCTCTTCTAATTAGAATAAAACTGAAACATCTGCCGAACAGACATCCATCCAAAACCTCTTGAAGACTGAGTGATGCAATGCAATTTAAAGATGGGGTCATATAAAAGCATTTCGATCCTTTTTCAAAGCTTGCAATCAGGAAGAGTTCAAATGGTCCGTTTCAACCACAAATGCCATCACCTTTTCCGATCTCAAAATACTAATGGGATGCTGTTTTAAAATGTCAGAAACAAGCGAATCTGACAACATTGTCTGGGGGATCTAATAAATCTAATCTTTGTGTGTGATCCTGAATACCGACCCATTATCCAAGGCATGAGCAACGCAGGGGAAGGATGCTATTAAAACCCTGGCTGGTGCATCAGGGAAAGTTGGGATGGCCAAGCGGCATAAATTTAATGGGGGAATTGGCAGGTTTAAAAGGGCTGTTGTGTGATGGGCGGCCATCAGGGCAGGGGAGGAGTGTGGATAACTAGATATCAGTACATTGTTGACATTGTTCACTGCAAAGTATATAGGTTCAGGGAGCAGATGCACATTGATTAGAAAGCCACGGGAAAAAAAGAGAAACATAGAAAGCAGGGAAAAAAAGGGACAGACATTTGGAAAAGAGAAGATAGGTGTCAAAATAAACAGAAGGGAGAGTAATAGGAATTTTCCAGGGAGCATGTATGCCGGTTCTTGCTCGGTTATGATTATGCTCAACTGTACCTACGATGTAAAGAAACCTTTTGCACATAATGATGTTTGAAGTGAGCATGAGCAATGTAAAGTACACAGACAGAAGTGACTCAATGCCATCTTTTAAAACCAGTGTTTCCCAAGCATTTTTGTCTTATGTTTCTCAAAAGCCCTATCAGTACAGCTTCATCAACACCAAACCAGAAATGTGAATTTTGGTGAAAAAAAAGTCTATGAAAACATCCATAGTCATCAAAGTTGTAAAACAAGTCTTATTGCTGAAATGTATGCAGTTCAAATCAGTCGTGTGAGAATCGTTTTATGACCAATTTACCTAAATTGTTTCATTAATGGTGCCTATTATTTGGTGTTCTTTCATTATAAAGGAACTCAAAAACATCATGACATGAATCATAATTAGTTATTCTAACTAATTACTGTTTTACATGTTTAAAAGAAAAATCTAAAATACCCCTGGGATTGACTTACAGTCAATGTGACCACTTACTAATAAGTTAGTAATAATGTTAGTAATTATGTTTGGATGTGAATTGCAGATCAATCATTTTTCAAAATAAATGGTGTACATGCAATTAATTAATAATATAATAATATATATAAACAAGATACCATAACAAGTATGTCATAACTTCCTACTTAATTTCAGCTTAATTTTCTTCATCAGTAATTCAAATCAAAGTGGCTGAGAAAGTGCAACACACTTATCACTGCAGGTTCTCACTTTGGCAGCAGTTTACCTTTACTTAAAGGCAGCAATCAATTTGATGTTTTCAATTTTAGTGGCTTGACCATTTTTACTGACTCAAGTCTCACGTCCCATGGGCATCAAAAATATCTGACATTAATTCAAGCCCCACTCTCTTTCTCTAACCTGCCTCAATTTTTAAAAATGTTTTCTCTTCTAAAAGAAGGAGAAATTAAACAATCGCAAATCAGGTTTGAATGATCTTATTTGAGGACCATATATGAGGACCTTAATAAGCTTATATCTATAAAATTTGTGAGAGCATGTAAAAGCAGTCATAAATCAGTCTGCGAGATTATGACAGATCGGCATGAGTTTATCCTAATCGGGTGTCTTAGGTTCTCGTTCAGTTGAGGTGACCTGCATTTACCGCCACTTAAGACGATGAGTCACAGATTGTGAAGGCCATGAAGGACATCTTTGAAAACAAAACAAAACCTCTTTGGCTCCAAAAAATGGGATGAAACCAATTACCAAAATCATTGTCTTGTCTAGCAACAGACTATAATCATTAACCGTTTTTTGTAATACTGTAGAATATTGTGACTACAAGCATGCTACCTACGACTTTGGAGAGCTGTTATATGTCTGTGTTCAAGAGTTCTGATCATTTCACATAAGTGAAATCTTTTACATTATGCGACTACTACTCTGAAGAAAGCCTTGACCTCAGAACAGATTTTAAAGAATTATGCAGGCACTTAAATCTACAACAAAAGGATAATTCCACATAAAATGTCTAAGGCTTGCATTCCACTAGCTATTGTCAGTCATTTACATAGTTGTATGAGAATCATAGGAGATCGGTGCATGTAACCATCCCTCGGTGAGTGATAACAGCTTCAGAAACTCTGCTTCCTGCTGAGTTGATGGTCTAGCTGACTCTGACAATCGCATATTTGACATTATCATTATCCCGATAAGGCCGACCAATGAGCTTCTTCTCATCCTGAAGAACAGTTGTCAGGTTTGAATCTGATCCAAACTTCCTCTCAGCAAACTCTAAGCCACATGCATGAAACGCTGATTGTTATTCATTGTGGTTGCATAAATGAGTGTTCTTCTGGGGTTCTGCTACACCAAAATGACTTCTTAATTCAGTCAGAAATAAATGTTTAGTCATTTAGTCTTTCTTTTGCATTCTTAATGAGTGAGAGTAACAAGTAACAGACCTTCACCAGAAGAGGATGAGGTTGGTGTAACCGCTCCTACCGAGTTGTTTTAGGTCGGCCTGTGGGACGCCACCTTAAGTATATACATTTATAATACAAGTCTCTAGTGAGTTTGTCATGGATCATAAAACAACGACCGATGATGACGTAGCATGTGGTATGCTTGGTTGCAAATAGGCGATAAACAATCTAAGTCTGTCCATTTGAATACAGCTACTCCCTTCTACCAAAATGTAAACCCTGACAATATGTCAACATCAAGCCCAGTTCTCCTACATCTTTCCCAGCCTTGGTCCTCTGAGAATCAGCACGGTCCCATTGTGCTGACAGTGGTGTAGTTGAACTTAGACATGGACGCTCCGGTGGCAGTGACCTCATCGTCACCTTCCCTGAAGCCTCTTCTACGGCAGGGCCAGCAGCAGCAAGAGAAAGTGGTGAAAAGTGCTTTTCGAAAACGCTTGTTCATAAAGCAGTAGATGATAGGGTTGACGCAGGCAGATGTGTAGGACAGGAGGTGGATGAACGAGATGGGGGCTCCAGAGAGAGCCCTGTGGGCAGAGGGAAGGTCGAACGCTTTCCAGGTGTTAACGGAGTACAGGGGCATCCAGCAGATGAAGAACATGGCCACGATGACGATGAGCATACGGATCACTCGCTTCTTTGCCATCAGTTTAGCCTCGGAGGTATTGCTGCGGGGTCGGTCCACCTTTGCGGAGCCCGTTGGGGTGAGGGCTGACATCTCCAAGGAGTTGGGTCTCTTGGACACCTGGATGTAGCAGCCGTCTCCGTCATCGCTGGTACATAAGACAGTGGTGCTGATACCATTTTTCATTCCTGTAGAGGAAACATTGCATTTTCCTTAAAAAGAAGCTCTGAGTACTCACACATCAAACACACATCAAAAGGACGTTTACATTTTGAAGCAAATGTGCATTTCCTGAATGTACTGTAGGTCTAAGGCTGGCAGCAAAAAAAAAATTGTTAAAGTTTTACGTAAGCTCAGGTTTTAGGCTTTATTTTTTGTAAATGAAATGCTGCATCAAAACCGCTTGTTATTGTCATGACATGCAGCACACGTCTTGTTCCCTTTCGTTGTCACTCCGAGTTCCGTCGGAGGACGACGAATGGGGTTTTCACATCGAAAGCCTATCAACTTCGACTATTACAAAACGAGCCAATGGCAAAGAAATGCCATGGGTCTGCGAAATTTGCTTAGCGTATCTCCGCCCCACCTCGTGGGTATAAAGCGGAAGACGCCGCAACATGCAGATATGTTTTTCGCTTCGGAGCCAAGGCAATCCCTTCGCTCCACAAGCCATCTCTGACTGTCAGCTGCTACAAGACGAGATTCTCCGGTGTTGGTGTGACGGCGATCTCCCAGCGAGTGCACACTTTCCTGCTTATCTGTGCAGTGGTTTGCCAGTGAGTGTGTTTCTCCCTGGGCGCTTCAATACCGAGGTTTCCTCTCTAAAAGAGCTTGCACGCGGCATGTCTTTTTAAAGATGCCTCGCCCGTGCACTTCTGGTTGCGGTGGATTCGTGTTTGACTCTGATGGGCACGAGCGCTGTCTAGTGTGTTTGGGCATTGATCACGCTAGATTGGCGCTCGTGGATGACTCATGTTCTCTCTGTGGGAACATGACCATCGCGTCACTACGGTCGAGACTCAGTGATCTCGCAAGAGTGAGAGTCCCCTCATCCACACCCCGATCTACTGACTCTAGAAATAGAGCTAGTACTTCGGCTGGTGGCCAGGGTGACCTGAGGGTGACAGTGTGGAACAAAGCGCCGACTATCAGTCCGTGCTCTGCACCTACCCCTCCCGTGACGGTGCCCGTTAGTGTCCAGGGGATTCCCGCGGGTCCATCTTCGGATGCCCCGCGTGTTTCCTTTGGCGCTACAGAGGATGACGCGATGTCCATCGCAGCATCACAAGGTGGGCAGGATTCATCGGATGATGACTCGACAGCGCTGCCTCCTTCGGGTGCACAGTCGTTTGCCGAGTAGGACCCCGAGATGACTGCCATGCTTGCCCGGGCGGCCGCGAGCATCGGGTTGGAGTGGACTCCTCCGCCCCGTCCCGAGCGCTCGCGGCTAGATGATTGGTTTTTGGGTGCGGCTGCGGATTCACGTCCGCCAACCCCAATTCCTTTCTTCCCGGATGTGCATGATGAGATCTCGAAGTCCTGGAAGTCTCCCATGTCTTCCCGTGACCGCTCGTTGATTTTATCCGCCTTTCCTCCCCTCGATGGAGCAGCTGCCCGTGGGTACACTGGGCTCCCCCCGGTTGAATGCTCTGTTGCGATGCAACTGTGTCCTCAGAGTGCTTCTTCTCATGGCGAGCCTAAGCACCCATCCAAAGCCTGTAGGTACTCGTCTACGTTAGTGGCGAAGTCCTACAGAGCGGCCGGACAGGCAGCTGCTTCGCTGCATGCTACGGCGACTCTGCAGGTCTACCAGGCCCAAATGCTCAGAGACATGCACAAGGGTAGGACAGACCCAGGGCTCTTTGATGAGCTGCGCGCCGCCACCGTCCTCGCTCTCTGGGCGACGAAGGTGACCGCGCGCTCCCTGGGTTTGGTGATGTCCACTGCCGTGGTCCAGGAGAGACACCTGTGGCTAAACCTGGCTGACATGAAGGATGCCGAGCGGCCCCGGCTGCTCGACACCCCCATGTCCCAGGCCGGCCTCTTCGGCGTTGCAGTTTAGGACTTTGCCCAACAGTTCTCACCAGCTCAGAAACAGACTGAGGTTATTAAGCACATCCTGCCCCGCCGACCCGCTGCTGCCTCCACCCAGTCGGCCGGGCAGGTCACTCAGTCTGTTCGCCGCCGAGGACGCCCTCCTGCGGCTCCCGCCCCTCCCACCCGGCCCAAGCAGCAGCCTTCACCCGGGCCCGGTCATGGAGGAAGCCGCAAGAAGGCGTCCCAGCCCTCTCCAGCCCCGCCCCCCGCTAAACGCCGGGCCAAGCGGCGATCCTGAGACGGGCTGCTCAGGGATGTTGACGGTTACTTCGCAGGAGGTGGTAGCAGGACCACTCCATCCCCCGGTGGAGGGCCGGGGGAGAATCTTTTGTTCTCCACTCCCCGCTGCTCACCCCCGGGTGGGCAGCACCCCAATGTGGTTAAAGAAAGAAGTAACATGTCCATCCTTGAGCACACAGAGTTCTCGGACGACACGGAGCGCCGCCCCCCGGCCGTGCTCCCCTCGTCCTCCTCTGTCCCAGAGCCGGATGACAGTGCGCACCGTCCCCGGAACGTGCCGCTCTCATCCCCCTCTGTCGCCAGCCCCCTGGCAGCGCAGACCCTCATGGAACGTTCGTCCTTCCCTGGTCTGCTCTGTCAGGGCGCGGTCAATGACTGTGCCCCCACATCGGGTCGCTATGCCGTCCACGTCTGGGCCAGTCATTCCGCCTCGCTGCACCACCGGTGGGAAGTCTGTGGTTCGTATGACCCCGCTGGTAAAGTCGTTGGGAGCTTGGCTAGAGCTTCCCGACCTGTCCCGCTGGGTCGCTCGGACGATCAGGCTCAGCTACGCGATTCAGTTCGCGCGGTCTCCTCCCCGCTTCAGGGGTGTCCGCTCCACTATGGTCGGTGGCAATGCCCCTGTCATGAGAGCGGAGATTGCTACCCTGCTGGCGAAGGGTGCGATCGAGACTGTCCCTACAGCCGAAATGAGGTCCGGCTTCTACAGCCCGTACTTCATTGTCCCCAAGAAAACCGGTGGGTTACGGCCAATCCTGGATCTGCGCGTTCTGAACCGCTCCCTTCACAGGCTGCCGTTCAAGATGCTCACCGCCAAACGCGTTTTCGAATGTGTGCGGCACCAGGATTGGTTTGCAGCGATCGACCTGAAGGACGCCTACTTTCATGTCTCCATCCTCCCTCGACACAGACCGTTCCTGCGGTTTGCTTTCGAGGGGCAGGCATATCAGTACGCAGTTCTCCCTTTCGGGCTAGCCCTGTCTCCTCGCGTCTTCACGAAGGTCGTTGAGGCAGCCCTTGTTCCTCTCCGGGAACACGGGGTTCGCATCCTGAACTATCTCGACGACTGGCTGATTCTAGCTCACTCTCGAGATCAGCTTTGCGAACACAAGGACTTGGTGCTCCACCACGTAGCCCGTCTGGGCCTTCGGGTCAACTGGGAGGAGAGCAAACTTTGCCCCGTGCAGAGGATCTTTTTTCTCGGTATGGAGATCGACTCGGTCACCATGTCCGCGCAGCTTACGAGCGAGCGCGCGCAGTCACTGCTGACTTGCCTGAGACAGTTTGAGGGCAAGAGTGCGGTTCCACTGAAACTTTTTCAGAGGCTCCTGGGGCATATGGCATCTGCAGCTGCGGCAACGCCGCTCGGATTGCTTCATATGAGACCGCTTCAGCTTTGGCTTCGCGACCGAGTCCCGAGGTGGGCATGGCAGCACGGCACTCTCCGAGTACCAGTTACTCCGACTTGCCGTCAAACCTTCGAACCTCAGTGGTCGAACCTCAGTTTTCTACGGGCCGGAGTGCCTCTGGAACGAGCTTCGCGGCATGTTGTTGTAACGACAGATGCCTCCAACACGGGCTGGGGAGCCATGTGCAATGGACGTGCTGCCGCGGGCTCCTGGATAGGACCCCAGCGCCTATGGCACGTCAATTGCCTCGAGTTGCTGGCTGTACAGCTCGCCCTGCGCCGCTTCCGAGCCGTGCTCAGGGGCCAGCATGTACTAGTCCGATCAGACAATACCGCGACTGTAGCGTACATCAACCGTCAAGGTGGTCTGCGCTCCCGCCGTATGTCGCAACTCGCCCGCCACCTCCTCTTATGGAGTCAGAAGCATCTGAGGTCGCTTCGTGCCATTTATATTCCTGGAGTCCTGAACTGTGCAGACGAGCTCTCACGATTTCAGCCCCTCCCTGGGGAATGGCGACTCCATCCCCAGTCGGTTCAGCTGATTTGGGACCAGTTCGGGGGACGCACAGATAGATCTGTTTGCCTCTCACGACTCGACCCATTGCACCCTGTATTATTCCCTGACCGATGGGCACGCTCGGCACGGATGCACTGGCGCACAGCTGGCCGCGGGGCCGCAAATATGCGTTTCCCCCAGTGAACCTTCTTGCGCAGACCCTGCGCAAGGTCAGGGAGGACGAGGAGCAGGTCTTGCTGGTCGTGCCGTATTGGCCCACCCGAACCTGGTTCTCCGAACTCATTCTCCTCGCGACAGCACCTCCTTGGCCCATACCTCTGAGGAAGGACCTACTTTCTCAGGGACGGGGCACCCTGTGGCACCCTCGTCCCGATCTCTGGAGCCTCCACGTGTGGCTCCTGGATGGGACGAGGCAGGTTTGAGTACCCTACCACCAGCTGTGGTGGCTACCATCACTTCTGCAAGAGCGTCCTCCACGAGACACGTCTATGCGTTGAAGTGGAACCTCTTCGTCAACTGGTGCTCTTCTCACCGAGTAGACCCCCGGAGATGTTTGATCAGCGTCGTGCTTTCCTTCCTTCAAGATGGGTTGGAGCGAAGGCTGTCTCCCTCCACCCTCAAGGTCTATGTCGCCGCTATTCCCGCACAGCATGATCTTATAGAAGGCAAGTCGGTGGGGAAGCACGACCTGATCGTCAGGTTCCTGAGAGGAGCGAGGAGACTGAATCCTCCTCGCCCTCCTCTCGTACCCTCTTGGGACCTCGCAGTGGTTCTATCTGCCCTGCGGAGTGCTCCCTTTGAGCCTTTGCAGTCAGTCGAGCTTAACTTCCTGTCTATGAAGGCAGCGCTTCTGACTGCATTGGCCTCCATCAAGAGGGTAGGGGACCAGCACGCATTCTCCGTTGACGAAGCGTGCCTGGAATTCGGGCCGGCTTACTCTCACGTGATCCTGAGACCCCGGCCTGGATATGTGCCCAAGGTTCCTACCACTCCCTTCCGGGACCAGGTGCTGAACCTGCAAGCGCTGCCCCCGGAGGAGGCAGACCCAGCCTTGGCACTGCTCTGTCCAGTACGTGCTCTCCGCATCTATGTAGACAGAACGCAGTGTTTCAGGACCTCAGACCAGCTCTTTGTCTGTTATGGTGGGAAGCTGAAGGGAAAGGCTCTCTCCAAGCAAAGGTTGTCTCACTGGACAGTGGACACCATTGCTTTGGCATACCAGCAGCAAGGTCGACCGTGCCCCCTTGGTGTGACCGCCCACTCCACCCGGAGTGTGGCGTCCTCTTGGGCTCTAGCGCATGGCGCCTCGCTAACAGCCATCTGCAGAGCTGCAGGCTGGGCGACACCCAACACATTCGCCAGTGTCCTCTCATGTACTCGCTTCAACCAGCTAGTACCGGACCCGCTCAGGTGTCTTCGCTTGGTCGCCATTCCACTCCACGGACTGGATACGTGCGATATTTCCTCAGGTGAGCTTCCCGAAAGCCCTGAGTTCCTCCAATACTCCTGACGCTGGCGCCAGTGTCTTTTGCCTGTGCGTCGGCTAGGTGCCTCCCGTGTGCATGGTCCCTCCTCTGAGCGACCCCCACATGTGTATTTCCACTGGAAGCCTCTCTGAGCAGGTGTCTTTCCCTTGGCAAGCCACCTTGCCACCCCTGGGGTTGAAATATTCCACCTGCGGCTGGACACCCCAGTGATTCCCCATATGCATACCTCGGGTCATATGTGTATTCTCTAAGTCCCCCCCTCTGGGTTGGCAGTAATTGCATATTCCCCCAAAAATCTTGGGATATGCTCCCCAGTGTACCTTGGTATTCCTGTGGTAAATTGGAGTCCTTTGTTCGTGCCAGTTCACGACAGGGATCTCAGATTTACGCAGGGCACTGGAAGACAGCTGAGAAGGTGGCGTGATTAGACTGGTATCCCCATTCGTCGTCCTCCGACGGAACTCGGAGTGACAATGAAAGGGAACGTCTCGGTTACGGATGTAACCCTCGTTCCGTGAGTAGGGAACGGAGACGTTCCATCTACTTGCCACTTCCGCTGTACCGCGGGGATCGCCTGAGCTCAGTCTTGGCTCCACAGCGATTAAACATATCTGCATGTTGCGGCGTCTTCCGCTTTATACCCACGAGGTGGGGCGGAGATACGCTATGCAAATTCCGCAGACCCATGGCATTTCTTTGCCATTGGCTCGTTTTGTAATAGTCGAAGTTGATGGGCTTTCGATGCGAAAACCCCATTCGTCGTCCTCCGACGGAACGTCTCCGTTCCCTACTCAGGGAACGAGGGTTACATCCGTAACCGAGACATTTTCTATTGGTCGTGTACAAAAAAAAATACCATCTTTGCAGTATGAATGTGTCCATATATATATATATATATATATATATATATATACCTTAGTGGTAACACTTTACTTGAAGGGGTGTGCATAAGACTGACATGACACCTGTCATGAGTATGAAGGAGGTTTTATGCATGTTTATGACAACTGTCATTAAGTGTCATTCGCTCAATCCTGACATTTTTAATGCAAATATGACATTTTTTGAGATGTCTTTGTTATGACAACTTGACATAAACCAATACATCATAACCTGTCAGTGTCTTGGTAATGACAACTTGACATTATCAAGACAACATAAATTGTCATAAATAGGTCATAAACATGACACAGCAGATTAATTATTAAACTTAAGAAACCACTTAGCCAATGACAGCCAATGTCAAAACCAACCACCTGACAGTTTAATGTAATGTTAACCCATAAAGCTAAGTGGTTTATTAAGTTTGATAATTAATCTGCTATGTCATGTTTATGACATATTTATGACAGGTTGTGTTGTCTTAGTAATGTCAAGTTGTCATGACAAAGACACTGACATGTTCTGCTGTATTGATTTATGTCAAGGTGTCATAACAAAGACATCTCAAACAATGTCATATTTGCTTTAAAAATGTCATAATTGAGCGAATGACACTTAATGACAGTTGTCATAAACATGCATAAAACCTCCTTCATATCAGATTATGAAGGTGTCATGTCAGTCTTATGCACACCCCTTCAAGTAAAGTGTTAGTATGAAGTCTGACGTTATTGATAAAATGTCATTTCAATTTAGTCAATATGGTAAGCAGTGTGGGTGAATTAATTGGAGATTTTTTTTTTGCAGAAAAAAATGAATACAAATACACTTTCAAAACCTGTGATAATGATTTACTCATGATCAAATTACTCTTATGAACTGTTTCTTAGACAAAACGACTTACAAATCGGTCTCAAACTCATAAATTTAATCTGAATTGCTCTATAGAGGTTCACTTTCCTGCAGAGTTTTGCTCCAATGTTGATCAAACTCACCTGCCTGTAACTTTCTATTGATCCTGATGACCTTGATTAGCTTGTTGAGGTGTTTTATTAGGGCTGGAGCAAAACTCTGCAGGAAAGTGGACCTCAAGGGCCAGAGTTGAGAACCCCTATCTTAAGGAATCGTTAAATGGAATCATAATTGTTACATTTCTTATGATTCACAACTCTTGTGTCTTTCACTAAACATTAACATTTATAAGACCCCACAGCAGGTTGTATTTTGACATTCTTGAGTTTCCGTCTTTTGCACAAATTATTACCAATAAAAATGGGAAAGGAAATTACATTTTGCTAATTCAACTGAAAACATCTTAATGGGTAGAGAGGTGACTAAGCAATGGAGAGTTTGAATGCTAGAATACTGCGGCCCAGGGGAAATGGGGCATATTTATAACATTAATAGAATGTGATTTAGTCAGAACAGCGGAGGTCAGGATGGGACATAATCAAAGCAATCCAGCAGATATTAACTTCTAAGGGCTCCATTAATGAGCAATTTCAAGGAAATATTCAAGTCTATATTGCCTCTTTTTGTCCTTACTTTTTTAGGGGCAGTTACGGAAATTTTGCACAGCTGCAATTATCTTTTTGAAAGTCCTATAGGTCACATTTCATGACTTAGGAAACTGAGTCATTCACAAACAGATGGCCTCGACTGTACACATAGACAATTAAATCCTCAGGGCAGGTCATGCAATATGTTCACAGCGACTAGCATGGTTAATACCCTTTAGGATGGCCTGGGGCTTACTAAAAAAAATGACACTAAATCAGTTTGTAGTGTGTTATCGCCTTCATATGTCTCACCGCACTGTCCCTTCTTCTGTTCCAATTCAAACTGTATTCCACGGTAGAGCTCACAAGATATGAGCCCATAAGCGATGATCATCACCACTCCAGGAATGAAGAACAGAACAAATAGCAACAGGATGCACCTGAAACAAAGATACACCTTTTGAAACTCCCAATCATCACACAAGCTTGCTCTTCAACCAACAGTCTCTATTAGACTTGAAAAATGTTTCACCCGGTTAATTCAAAACATTGTTAATTATATACAGATTGATTATTTTAAATATAAGTAATTAACATCAGAAGTGCATAGCCATGCATCCTCACATCTTGAAGGAAACATATTTGTACCCAACAATGCCTATTACATGTGATAAAATCCCATGCCTAGCCTATATTCAGAAATATTCAGAAAGAATAAGGAAAGTGTACAAGCAAACTCAAAGGAAGAGAGAGAGTAAGAGAGAGAGAGAGAGAGAGAGAGAGAGAGAGAGAGAGAGAGAGAGAGAGAGAGAGAGAGAGAGAGAGAGAGAGAGAGAGAGAGAGAGAGAGAGAGAGAGAGAGAGAGAGAGAGAGAGAGAGAGAGAGAGAGAGAGAGAGAATACTGTTGTCATCCCTTGCTGTCTATGTAAGTAGCAGTAGCTGTCATAAAACATGAATGTGTCGCAAGAGGCACCCAGCTGATGTTTAAGACCCTGGCTTTATATGTTTCTCTGTCTTTGTTTGTATAGAGACAGACACAGACAACCAATGATGTTACATTATAAGTAATAACGGGATGCTTTTCCCATAAAGGGATGTTCCAGGTTCAAAACAACTTAAGCTCTATGGACAGCATCTGTAGTACACTCTCAATTACCACAATAATTTGAATATGTATGTTAATATATGCAAACAAACATTGTGTTTACAGGTATGCAGTTACAGTATAAGAGAAGTCTATGCGGGCATTGCATTCTGGAGGCTTTAAAAACAGAAATGTGCAACTCATGTTTTAAATAAAGCACTTTATTTTGAAGATGGTAACACATCTGATGTTCTACTTTATCAGGTGAAAGTAAAAGGGTTTAGCAAATGTACGTCATGACTGGAGCTGGATTTAACTTTGCCTAGACAAGGTAAATAAGCGATTTTATCAGTGTGACATGTTTAATGCTTTTAAAGTGTCTTTTTTTTTACAATGTTAAATCATTTTTTTCTTACCCAACATAGGGCCATAAACAGGGCCTAAACAGGGGCAAATTAGCGTGAGAGCGCAATTCCAAAAAAACGCAGATGGGAGTGGAAAGTTCTGAGCGTGATCTACTAATGACGCAAATAAAAGAACACAGACGCAGCCGGATCATTTCCATAATGACCAGCATAATCTACCAAGAGCAGCGCAAATTAGCGTCTGGTTTAAAACATTGCGCAAATTGACGAGCGCAATTCTTAGTAAATCACCTTGCATTATTCAATTAAATACTCTCCTCCCATACATTTTGAGTCTGAAAGGGAAACTCCTACAAAAGCATTTAAGGTGCCCTTTCAGCGAAAATGTTTCACTTCGTGTCTGTATTTGTTTTTTAACACCAAAAGAGGGTTTGCGATGGCGCAAGCTGTTAGTAAATCTGGCCCTTATGTGGAGACAACTATAAGGTGTAAACCATAGACTGTAAAAAAAAAGATGGACGACGCCCCTTCGCTCTTTTCCATTGGAGAGAACTGAAGCCGCCAGTGTCCCGATATGGCGCTGACATATTGGAATTTGAGTTTGCGCAGTAGCGTTTTCGGGACCAGTCATGCGCAGTAGTGAGCAGGAAGTAAAGCCGCGAAATCAAGGCCCCGCCCTCACTCTCGCTGAATCAGTCGCAAGCACACGCCCTGCACTTTTCTTAAGTGGCCTTTGACTGCTCCGTTCCTCTCCAATGATGTCTGCTGATTGCAGTACCTCGTTAAAATAAGGTAAATACAACTACTAACCACATAGTCAACATTATGAAAAAAAGTCAGTTGGTGCTTCAGTGACTACTTCGCACAGAGAACCTGTCAATCACAGCTGTCAATCATGATGTCACAGCACCGTTTTTATAGCATCAAATAACTAACTAAAAACAAACTTATTTTAAAAACAAACCCTTGAAATTCCATCAACGTGATAGAAACTACAGTAAATGACAGAAAACATCTTTAGAAAAAAGATATGTGAAGTGTAATTTAATTGTTTAGTTGGTCTCGCGTCCCGTTGAATAACACAGGGAGGCGGGGTTTATGACCTATACTAGGACCGGTCACTGGGGGGCGATCGAGACGTTTTGGCTTCACTTTTGAGGGCTTGTGCGGAGATAAAGCTCGGCCAGTCACTCACTGTGAAACAGTTCCAGAGACTGTTGGTTCTGATGGCAGCTGCATCGAACTTGATTGGTTATATGGAGGGAAGATGCTCTCTCTGAGAGTGGTATACATCCCGGGGTACCAGAATGTAGGAGCAGACATCCTGTCAAGGCAGGGGCTGAGGCCCGGGGAATGGAAACTTCACCTGAGGTGGTGTTACGTATATGGGAGGTTTAGGGCCAAGCTGAAGTTGGATCTGTTTGTGTCTCAGGATACGACGCACTGTCCACTTTGGTTCTCCCTAACACACCCAGCCCCCCTGATTGCTCTGGTCCGCCGGGACAGAATAAGTCTACTCCTAGTAGCGCCATACTGGCCGAGCAGAATATGGTTCGCAGGCCTAGTGTCCTCCCTCGACGGTTCTCCCCTAGAGATTCCGGTCAGGAGGGACCTTCTGTCTTAGGCGGGAGGCGTGATCCTTCACCCCTGCCCTGAGATATGGAATCTGTGGGTTTGGCCTCTGAAGGGGGCCCAACTCATAGACTCAGGTCTCTCAACTGTTGAGACCATACTTCACTCTAGAGCTCCCTCCAAAAGGAAGCTTTATGCCTTGAAGTGGAGAGCTTTCACTTCTTGGTGCAGTATGCAACAGTGGGATCCAGTTAACTGCCCGGTTGGTTCAGTACTAGAGTACTGGGCTATCCCCTTCCATACTAAAGGTGTATGTGGCAGCCATATCTGCTTACCACATCCCTTTGGGTGGTGTATCTTTTTGGAGGGACCCATTAATAACATGTTTCCTTCGTGGCACTTTAAGGCTTAGGCCTGCAATTCGTACCAGAGTTCCAGCTTGGGATCTGGCTATTGTGCTAGGTCTATCTCCCTTTGAGCCCCTTGAGACAGTTTCAGAAAAATGTCTGACCTTAAAAACTGTGTTCCTTCTAGCTATATCTTCTCTAAAGAGAGTAGGTGATCTCCAGGCCCTGTCGGTATCCCCAAGGTGCCTTGAGTTCAAAGTCAAGGCATTCCTTTACCAAAAGCCGAGCTATGTCCCCAAGGTGCCGACCAATGTACCTCTGCCTAATGTTCTGCAAACCTTCTGCCCTCCTCATTTCGGAGTTCGGGACCAGGAAAAGCTGAACCTTGTGTGTCCAGTAAAAGCGCTGGATACTTATGTCCACAGAGCTACCCTGTGGAGGAAAACCGATCCGCTATTTGTTTGCTTTGGATCGCCTAAAAATTTTAGTCTCTCTGTTTATCCCGAGGTTTACTATAGTTAGCCGGATCCGGACCATATCCAGATCAGATGGTGGACCTGCACCTAGACACGACCACAACGCATGATGTAGTCAGCCAGATCCGGGCCGTATCCTGATCCGATGGTGGACCTGCGCCTAGACACGACCATTGAGACATTTTCATAATAGTGTAAACCATTGATACATTTTATTTCAGGATTCTTTGATGAATAAAAAAGTTAAAAAGAACAGCATTTATTTGAAATAGCAATATTTTATAAAATTAATATCTTTACTGTCACTTTTTTATCAATTGAATGTGTCCTCACAGAATAAAATAATTTTATTTAATAATAAAAGTATTACATATTTAATTAAAGCATAAAAAATCATACTAAGCCCAAACTTTTGTAACCTCTATGGCCCTATCGAAATAGTGCTTCAAAATACTGTTTGCCTATCAGCCTGAAACTGTCAGAGCTGTGGTGTAGTGGTCTGTGCACATGTTCTGGACACTGTTGGCTCAGGAGGAACCAGATTTGAGTCTGACTCTGGTCCTGATCCCACTCAAGTGTTGCATGCGTTAACGCACTAATTTTGACAGACCTAATTTTTATATAATTAAACAGAAACATATGTATTTATTATATTCCTTTGCTCACTTGGTTCCTCCCTGTCCACACCTGTGCTCTAGTCGTCAGTTGTGTCTAAGTCTGTATGCTGGCTCGTTGGCTCGTCATTTTCACCAGCATCCTCACCCTCCACACTTTGTTTTTTAAAGTAATCAGCTATTGACCTCTTCATTTTTAGACGACATTCCTAAATTTCCTGAATTCCTAATTTGCGCATTTTATCATTTGTGTGCGTGTACATGACTGATAATAGAGACTTTAAGGAGCAGCTGCTGACACACTACTTTTTGACGTTCTGCAGTAACCGTCTGCTACGGGAGAATAGCCGTTTTGCCCTAGTCGATAATACGTGACAGATTAGATAAGTCCCTAATGCAAGTGCAGGTAGGCAGACACCATTTATGTGCGTGACCATGCACTCGCACAAATGCGTCCACGTCAAATTTTGACTCGCTCATTCTGAAAAAATGGTCGCAGTCTGGAGCCCTGATAAGTGTGTTACTCCACACATGAGCACTTACCACGCTTGCTCCACCTCGATCTTCGGCCAGTCATGGCGGCACATGTGAGCCTTGATGTTGTTGGGTTTGGTCAACTTAATCAGGGTGCTGAAAATGGGATAGGGTATCATAATAAGGAAGGACAGAAGCCAAGTGGAAGCGATGACTTTGTAGGCGTGGGATCGGGTCTGCCATGCACGTGACTTCAGCGGGTTGCAAATGGCACTGTACCTCTCAATGGCTATAGCCACCAGACTGAAGGTAGATATGCAGACGGAAATTCCTGTGATAAAGCAGAATGATATTTTTGATCAAAATCGGTACATTTACAATGCGCAAACTACAGTCAAAAGCTTAAAGATCGTATCTAAATAGTTTATCCACCAGGTTTTCTGATTCAGTTGCTCTTATCGCTACATCTATTCACTACACATCTACACGTTATTTTTTCCGAGAGCTTGATGCCTTGCAAAATTGAAAGCGACAAATCCTTAATACGTTCTCCTAAAAGTACTAAGCTTTGTGAAAAACATTACGAAATGGCATTCTTGTTGGTGAACGCTGTAAAGCAAGATTTCCGACAACCCCTCATGTTTGAGGAATTACTGCCCCGATGCCCCAAGAGCTTTGATCTGATCTCGCCCTCCGCACCAGAGCTCGTACCATGGAAATTGTTCTTTGCTTTACAAATCCCCTTCCTTCTCCGCCTCATCAAAAAACAAACAGAGGGGGGGAGGTTGTGTTTGGCACTGCGTGTTGGATGTGCTGCCCTGTAGCACTCCAACACTGTGTGGGCCGCGGGCCGCTAGCACACACTCAAGCAAATAAGATCTGCTCTCTTCTGAACTATGTCATCTCCAGGGCCTCCATCAGACAGTAAACATAATGCTGGAGAAAAACATCCTTTAGAAACTCTGTCTGATCGCCGTGCATTCAAGGACAAATCATGATAGTGTAATTGTTTTAGAGTCACCATAGCTGATTCGTTTCTTTTGACTTTGTGCCCATGACTTTTCTTTCAAATGTGCTACAATATACAGTAGACCGCTGCTGTCCAGAACAAAACTGTCTTAAGGTTGTTCTTTTTTTTTCCCTTCAATCCATTTGCCAGAAGCCCTTGTGTGTCAAATCTGACCTTGGCATTGTATCGGTTGGTACTGGATGGGCATTGACTTTCAATTAGGGAGGTAGTCATCCATGAAAAAGTGCAGATCAAGCTGGGTGCATTCAAACATATGCCTACATCAGTGGCTAATTTCTCAAAGCGAGAGTCAGTGTCAATATCTGACATCCAGGTAATTGTATTACAATTAAACAGTAGTCTCACATAGCAAATTTGACTTGAATCATATAGTCTGGTTCACTGGTTCATTTTTACAGTATGTGCTGTTTAGGAGCCAAAAACTAAAATACATGATACAGTGAAACAGTTTCTGAAAAAGAGATGTACAGGAAATACAAATAAATTATTGGAAATGTGTGTAAACTAATGACGACACTTTGGGAAACACTTTATTTCACAGTTACAACTTACATGTACTTACTGTAGTAATTATAAATTATGCTAATTACATGCAACTAACCCTGAACCAAACCCGGTAGCAGCACTTTATTTTACAGTCCTGTCCCACATATACATACTATGTACTTATTATAGTGATTACAATAACTGTGTAATAACTAGATACTAAACCTAACCTTAACCCATGTAGTTACCTTATATTACCCAGTACTTTTTTGAAGGTAAGAACGCTGTGAGTACACGTAAGAGCACGTACTGTAAAATAAAGTGCAACCCCAAACCCTAATCATGACTTTAAAAATATTTCTAAATGTATATAAATGTAAAGTTGCACTGTAACAAGGACACTTTTAAATAACCTAATGTATAGTTAAATGCATTGAAATACATACATGTATAGTTGTACTGTAACAAGGACACTTTAAAATAAAGTGTAACCACACTTTGTTTTAAAAAGTAACTGTGATGTGGATGATAGGCTCATGAATATTATTTAGATCGTGGATGTTAAATATGCACACAATTCTTTTAAAAATACTTTTGACAGTTTTGATATACAGTTGACATTAACTGTTGTTCATCAGGTCTATAACTGAGTATTGTTCATACACAGCTAAAAAACTCAATGTGCACACACGCCTGGTTTCACAATCAGGGCTTAGATTAAGCCAGGTTTAGGCCTTAGTTCAATTTGGATATGTAAGTAGCTTTTATAAAGGTGCCTTAGAAATAAAAAATAAAAATAAAAAACATTACTGATGTGCATCTTAAGACAAAACAATGGCACTGACATAATTATTTTAAGATATGTCAGTGCAAGTTGCTATCAGTTTAAACAGCTTAAACATGCACTTTAGTCTGAGACTAGGTTTAAGCCTTGTCTTAGCAACCGGGGTTTAAATTGGTAAAATACAAGTTACTTAATCCATTTGTGTTGGCACTACATAAATCATTGGCGTTAACTGAACATGGGCAGAATATTTTTAAGAGAGGGATTTTTCTTTCTTAAGAATGACTTTTTTATTGGGCTTTACTTCAGCTCAGGTAGGTTCCCCATATGTGGAACCAATTGAATTATTTTCAGCTAGAGTTATATTTTTGAGAGAATAACATAAATGTCCAAATTAATAATACAAGCAATAATTCTTAATCCTTAGGTGTGGCGAGCATCACTTTTTTACATCATTGATGATCATGATGAATTACTGCTGCCACGATTGAGAGAAAATGTATTCATACACATCTTTTTTTAAAAATCAAGGAAGGCTTGTCTGCACAGAAAAGAATGACTTAATTTAAATATTCATGCCACAGCATGAATGATTGCACCTGGATAGACTAAACTGAAAAGTGAAAGAAATGAATATCTTTCAAAATTTTGAAGGCACATACATTTCTGCAGATTTAGGGAATAGTGCTTGAAGCCAGTGCATTTGAAGAAATGACAGTCCATCTTACCCATAAGATAGGCCACAATCTTGCACATAGCAGCTCCAAAGATGAAATCCTCCAGCAGGTTGGGAATAAGAGTGAATGGCATGCAGAAAACAGCCATCATAAGATCACTAATGGCCAGGGAGAGCAGGAATGAGTTGGTCACCGTCCGCATTCGCTTATTCGCCACCAAAACCACAATGATGAGCAGATTACCAAACACGCTCAGCAGGAATATGAGGGAGTATAGCAGTATGCGCAGCGAATCCATGTCTGAAAGACAAAGATCAAATAACAGATCAGCATATTAAAAGACAGATCCCTGCTTTTGAAATGACAAAATATCAACAATTAAACCTATAAAACCTACTGTACTCTATCATGTTTGATACGCAAATTTCTATGATGCCTGATTGATAGTTTATGCTTTTTTAGCAAACAAAAGTTGATTTAGTATATTTCTACATATGTCCCTTTTCAGGTTGCGCTATTTGTGTCTTTTTGCTCTGAAATCTTTACTGATTTTTATAACTTTTATATTTTTAGTAATGTTTTAACATAAACATTTACTGGACTGAAGCAACTTGATTATCCATAAAACAAATTAAATCATTGTAAAATAAATCAAATATGATAGATTAGGCTTTTGAGGACTGTTTATTTTATCATTGTACTGCTCTGTATTATATGTTTTGTTACCGAAAATTAAAACTGCAGAGCTTTGATCATAAAACTATGCATTTAAATATCATCTTTAGACATATTATTAGGAGACATAGAGTGACAACTGAAACTTACATTGCATTTTATGTAAGTGTATCTGTTATTGTTACAAAAATCTGGAGATATAAATATTAGCAACAACACTAAATTGCATATTTTTGCTCAGTTCAGGTCTACTAAAATTGATTAAATGAAATAGTTTCCCCCCCTCAAATATGAGATCCATATTCTTATGTTTCATAGTATAAGAGCCATAAAAGCTATATAATGGATCAAGTAATGATACTAATATTTTTGATAGGTAATATTTTTCACTAAACTTTTTCATTTAATATATATATATATACATTTGAAGTGGATCAAAACATTTCATCCAGGTTATACATGAATTTTGAACAATACCCGTTCTTGTCTCGTCCTGGGTTTATTTTCCACACTGTCAGCAATTTCCTGATGTAAATTATATATTTATAAATGAATCACAGATACATGTAGTTATTTATAAATTGTGCATAGAGGAAGGTAAGACATGACCTAAGAAAAACATTTTAACAATTCGAAGCTCATTGTGACATGTTGGATAGAGTTTTTAATTTGCAAGCAATGGGACTGGGATTCATATTAGATTAATAAACTGAATGCCTCTAATGGTCCTCAATGCAACCGTGTGCTGGTAATGGAAAAATTCCAGCCATCATAAAATAACATCTCCAGTAAGTATAACAGCTCACTCAAACACTTGCTGTGTGTTTTTCAGACATGGCTGATGGATTATGTTTTTTTTTAGCTGATCTCTGTGGACATAAATCTCAATTTTGACACAGAGAACCATTCTTCCTGCTACAGCCTTTCATTTCATTTAAGCAATGAGTTGGAAACTTGATATCTGTAACTGAAATGCTGATGTGTAATTGGTTGATCAATCAGAATGAACTGCAGTGATTAATGGAGAAAAATTGCAGAATTAAAGCAAAACAATATTAGACTATGAATTGTAATTCTGGTCGAATGTCATAAACTTCCAATGTATTCATTTAATGGGATCATAAACATGGATCCCTTAATTTACCACTTCATATTTATATGTTTGAACCGAAAGTTTCAGAGTATTCAACCCCTAAATGATAGTGATCTATATATGTGGGTAACATTATTATATTTACATAAACAGGCTTTGTTGCTACAAAAAAAAAAAAACAAAAAAAAAAAAAACCTAATACATTTTAAGTCAGGATCAGATAAAGTTTGCATAAATGTTTCATAACTTCAAGAAATATTATGCTAATACCAGACTTTATGCATCTTATCAGAATTTGTGTGGTTCCTACAGAGCTGACGTGGATTCAATTAATTTCCGCTGAGTTTAATAAAGACATGCCACTTCATGCTAGACAAGATAAAATCATTGTAATGCCACAGAATAAATAAAAAGAAACAGCAAAACATATTAATGATCAAAGAAGTAGATATGTTATTGTATTTCTTATGACATCTCATATAATAAATAATAAAACTAATATAATTATTTGTTTACTTGGACAGGAACAAAAGGAAAGTTCAGTGATGTAACCAAAGATTCAGTGTACCAAATGTAGAATTGTAAGAATCAGTCATTGAAAACCATATTCACACCATTATTCTGAATATGAACACATACCCCTTAATGTCTTAAGTGGTTATGGCCTGACATGTGAATTCTTCATTAAACTTCCTCTGATAGTGCACATTATGGTAAATTTGACCAGTGGAACACACTGATATATTATTTATACTGAGAAACACAAAAGAAGATATATATAAAAAAAAAAACACACACACACAGGCAAGGCTTTTTGCATATGACTGCCTCTAAAGCACTGATAGTTTTACATCATCGCACCATGCCCCGCCCACTGGTGTTCAGTCACTTAACGGCTGACACGTCTACACCGGATGTGAGTGTTGTGTCAAAAGAAAATATAACCCATTATAATCATTGATGCTGTCTACACTGCATTTTCTTTTCTTGTTTGAGAAGCCGTTTCACTCGTATTTATACAATCCCTTTCATGCTGACTTTGTCAGGAACAAGTTCAGTAACACTTTAGTGCAAGGTCCAATTTTCACTATTAACTAGTTGCAGGGAATATTCCCCTAGAATATTTTGTTGGATAAATATCTGAACATGCAATACATCAAAAGAATGAACAGACCCTCTAATTAAAAAAAATATAATAATATTCTAGCTGCATTCTTTTTTTTATCAACACCTGAATGTTGGTAAGTTTCATTTAAAAAAGCAACATTTTTAGTAAAAAGCTGAGAAAATCACATTTTGTTCTAAGACTACATCTTGATCGGATTCAGAACAATAATCAAAACATAGATGGAGTAGATTGAGTCCATCAACACCCACAAAGCTTCACAGTCCTATACCTCGTCAAGAATCGGCATTTCATTCAGTAACGTTAGGCATTTTTGATTTATATGCTGTTTAATATTGATGATCGCGTTATTTTACATGTGCATTTGCATACATGTGCTATCACTTGTTTCTGCTTCTTATTCGCGTTTTTTTTTGTTTTTTTTTGATGCAGAGATTTTGTACTCTGAAATCTGGAAAATTACGTCAATGGTGGGGAAAGAGTTCATAAGCAGTAATCAGGAGTTTTTTGAGGCAAAAGTTGTAGTTAATAGCAGTGTTGGGAGTAATGCATTACAAAAGTAATGCCATTATTACTTTTTTATAACTCAGTAATTTAACACATTACTAATAAAATGTTGGCAAGGTCCGACTTTATATTAAGTGGCTTTAATAAATGTAATAAATAAAGCTGTAATAAATGTATGTAATTACACTGTTGACCCTTCCCTTAATCCACCCTTAAAGCTACCCATACCACCACACCTGTCCCTAACCTTACCCGTATCACACCTCAATAGCAGCAAAAGTGTTTTACAGTACAACATGATAACAATAAGTACATTGTACTTATTTTTCCATGTAAGTACATAGTACTTAAAGCCACTTAATACAAAGTGGGACCTTTTTTATTTTAAGAATTTACCAATTCTTACATTTCAGCATTCCAGCACCAGAGAAAAAAAAATTAATAGTTAAAATAGTATGTCTATTTCCTGTTGCTGGAATTCGATGGTTGAGATGACTGCAGAGACGGATTCTATTTGTGAGATGGACATACACCCATTTTAAGTTTGTCAGAGAAAAACCCAGACACAACATAGTGTCGGCCCAGATCCGGCCCACATCTGGTACACATTGATTCCACACGGCCCGGATGTGGGACGACACTATGTTGCTATCTGGGAAGGTAACAAGAACGTAATAGTCAAGTGCAATCTATGTGTGACACAGAGGGAACTCTCTACATCGAGAAAGACCACAAGTAACTTGAAAAAACACCTGGACCAAGCTAGACCTTAGTGCCAAGCTAACACTAAGTTAACCAAGAGAGCGGCATGGTCGGAGAAAAGACAGAATGTCAAAAAAAAAAAAAAAAGGTTTCTTTTGGTCTGCCATGCTGCTTGAACCCTGAGAAGTGAAGAGATTTGTGTCCACCCAATGCATGCCAGGTTTGTGCTGTGAACTTGAATAAGAGAAAAGAAGCGGAAAGAAAAAGAGTTTGTGCGTCTTGCCATGTCATTAGGCTATAGGTTGCATTATATTGGCCTCTAGTTCTATAGTTTTTTGTATCTCTACCATAATTTACCAGATTTGATCGTGACAGTGATTGTTACTTATTCTATGTATTGTGCCATGAGCCTTCAGTCTGCCTATTACATTGTTGTTAGTAGGCTTGGGGGCCTACACCACATCGCCCTCTACTTGATGTATAATGAGCAGCAAAAAATACATTTTAGAATGCCTACACTTCTGTGGTTATTTTGGTGAAAGCAACGCAGAAGTAGTGTAATGCATTACATTTTAGAGACAGTAAAATTGTAATGTAACCAACTACTTTCAAATAACAGTAACTAGTACTATATGTGGCAAACAGGACGGGGCCGAGAGCCGTGCGAGTATGGCACGAGGCCGGTGGCGTGATTGATGATGAGCGACACTAGCGCGGCGCACCGGTCTCAAATCTCTCACGGAGGAGCGGAAGCATAAAAGGAGGAGCGGCGATGGTGAAGGACGAGAGAGGACCAGGCCTAGATTTTACGTTGTGTTTTTTTTTTTATTATGTGAGGCGGCAGTCGTCCGTGAGGGGCTGCCGTCTTTACTTTCGTTTTGTATTTGTTTATTTATTTTATTAAAAATCTTTAAATGTTCGCCAGTTCCCACCCCGTCTTGTTCTTCCTTCCTCACACTGAAATCGTTACAATATAGTACTATATAATGTATTAGATTTTGGAAGTAACTTGCCCAACTCTGGTTAATAGTTAGTTAATAGTGAGAATTGGACCGTAATCTAAAGTGTGACCACAAGCTCTAATGGCATCCCGGATCGAGTAGGATTATATGTTTGTTCGGAGCATTTAACTACAGTTTGTTTTGTTAAAAAAAGGCACATTGTAATGGAGAGTTCACAAAGAAACTTTTGTTGAAA